ATGAACAACTAAAGCATATATCCTAGTATGAGAATATTTATTTAAAAGCATTTCATTCATTCAGGAAAACATATTTAATACATTTACACAAACGTATGTGAAGCATTTACACAAATGCATTAAGACATTTATTCATAAGTATGAAACACTTTTACAAAAATATTACATTTAAGATATTCAAAAAAACAAAAAAAAACATTTAAAACATTGTACAAAGGGTTAAAACTTCCATCCAAATTTTTTATGACCCTTACACAACGTTCTTGAAAGATTTGTAAAATTGTGTTTCGCACATTGTTATTCACATGCTTTAATTATGGCATCATACAAGTATTTATGTTATGTATAAAAACCTAATTAAGATATTTTGCAAGTATTTAAGATATTTATTCAAACGTAATCAAGATGTTCGTATCATATGTAACAACTATTATAAAAGTCATCACGGATCACGGATAAATGTTAGGTGAACAATCTGTTGCCATATGAATAAGTTAAATGCAAAACAACTTGTTTCTATAGACAAGCTGTCAACAAATGCCACCTTTGTCATTACCAAAAGAGAAGTCAATAATGAAAAAAATGCTTGCAATCTATACAGAAAAGGCTTGCAGCATTTCAATGTAACCTTACTACTGTTTATTCAATTAATACAGGAGTTTTGCTTTAAGTCAACGAGTTATTTCATGCACGTTTAGTGTTAAAATGCACTACGGATATAATATAAAAAAAAATATCAACTATGATTCAATTCTGTTTTGTAAATAATACTTTTTGTAATAGGAAACGCGGTACTTTACAACTCATTTTTAAAAAAGCACTTTATCATAAGGCTCAGATAAGAAGAAAAAATACTCAGAAATCCGTTCTAGAGATTCTCTCACGGCGTATCATTTACTTTGCTAATACCACGTTAATGTTATGATAGATTATGCAACAGATTGTCTACAATAACTTACCTGTCGTAAATTCCAGAACATTCCACAAAACTGTACAATACAATAACATACAAACAACACGTCCGTTCATTCCTGCATTTTATCTGCGCAAATAATTGTTTTTTTAATGCAAGAAAAAAGCTATTAAGCCATCTTTGTTTTGCTTTGTTCAGAGTCGTTTGTAACGTTTTCTTTCACCTCTATCTTTCAAAGGCACGAATTCCTTTTCATATTTCATTTTTCGTAAAATGTTATAACTTAATTTAAACTACACATTTTTTTAAATTTAAATTAGCTTTTCACTTTATCAAGTTATCTGCATTTAATTATCCAAGATTTTAAAATCGAAAAAGAGCAAGGTTAAATAGCAAATAATAAATAAAATATGTTTATTACACTCTCTTTTAACATAACACTATGTTTTATCTAAAGGTAAATGTATATAGTGTGCTGCTGGTAGCACTAGATAAATGATACTGATTCTCGATAAATATCTGTTAATATCAGAAATGACGCTTATGTTATTTTGTGTGTCAGTCTTCGTGGGAATTACGCATTCTGACAATATTCCAAAGAATGTTATGTAAATTATTCATAGATTTTATACTACTATTACTGTTTATTAGGACAGATTAAAAAAATACATCTGTATAATGCACGCATTAGGATATACAATGGTAAAATACTATTTCGCATAAACAGTGAACAATAATCTATAGTGGTTAAATTAAAAACAACTTAATTTACAAATGAATATCAGAAATGGTAAAATCAAATAATTTGCATAAACCGCACACAAACATTCAAAGTGTAAAATTAAATACATCTGCATAAATCACACATAAAACATAAACAACTATTAAATCAAATAGAATGCATAAAGAACCCACAAGAAATTATTGTAGTCAAATTTTATACATCTGCATAATACAAGCATAAGAATTAACTATGTTACGCATAACACAGCATTGTAAATGTAACAACTCAACTCAACTCTTTTATTTCATAATCAAAGGCCTCCGGCCCAAAATATGTATCAAACAATAAAGTAGCATTTGAATCAGGTTATGTCAATATATTAGTATTTATGACATAAATTTCAACATAATAGCAGTATCTACGACATTGTCTATTAACTTCAATACAATAACAGTATTTATGACATATACAATATATAATTACAAGTGTTCAATGGACTCACTAAGGTCTATATTTAAATTTAGTGTCTAATCTACATGCATATAGATTGACTTATTTCAATCGGAAGAACATCATTTTACAGAGATTTGTGATGCATTTTCTAATAAAACACAATTTCCTGTCGTTAAAAAAGGTATATTGATAGTGAAGATAACGAATCCATTAATTTAAGTGGGGTAAATAGGATTTCATTGTCAACATTATCCATCTGGTGTATAAGTAAATGCCGCGGAAAATTTATGTTATAGTTACACATGGAAGTACGCGGTGATCACAATTTAAGAAAGCTATTCTTTTATGATATGATCAAATAAATTTAACATAAAACTGAGCATAAATGACACTGTTCACAAAATTTCCGGGACGATCTTTTCCCTATCCCCCATATAACAGACACAACTACGTAACACATCACACGGGATGTAACTCTGGTGCTCTTACAACACACAATTATTATTCTGCTGCCATGACCGGCGTTTATATGATTTTCAATTAGATGTATGATTTTATGCGGAATGAAACGATCTATTGCGCGAGTCCTGCATATAAGAACAAGTACATAAAGTATTCACATACATCAGATTTACACTCCGGAACCAATTTTAGAGTAATTGCCAAGTTGAAAACATTTTTATTTACATTTTCTTCATATAAAAGGACCATGTTTTCGTATCTCCGTATACAAATGGTAAACTGAACAACTGCCTGATTTCATGTAATGCGGGTAGTTTCCCAAACTACCAAGACTTAATATCGTGGAAATAGGCTAAAATCTTATCATACGTAAACACGTTGTCTCCATCTGAACGGGTATTGTTTTGCATAAGGTAAAACGCATCCGTGTAAGAGCTGTTGCATTACATTGTCATAAAACATTAAAACATCTCACTTTTTCAATCAATGTATTTATTAACCTTTATAAACCAGCACTTATATGAACGTAATGGCTTCCCTTTTATTTCAATTATCACAAGTCTGCAGATTTAAACTAAAAATTTTATTTGGCTCTTCTCAAGTTCTGCAGTGCACAGGTAATCATTCCTTTGCAACCATTGTATGTGTGCGTAAACCCTCTCTTGTATGGTATTGAAAGGAAAAGCGCAGCTCGCCATAAAGAAAGGTGACTAATTACTATGTCCTATGTTCGCTTTTATCGCAATGAACATGTGAACATGCAAAATCACGAAAAGGTTTTTTAAATTAAATTTACATAAAACAGATTCGTGATGCAGAATGTTTGCATTATCGAGCCAAAAAAAGCGAAAGGACGACAAAATTAGGGAATCATACGACACATAAAATGTGTGTTTTTGCATTTTTGCGGCGTAAAGCGAAAAAACTGGCATGGTGTAAATTGGCAACTATAATTAAGCAGATGTTAAACCTTGCTTTGATGCTTTTGCACTTGTTTATTTAACATGTTTCCCAGAGATTTCAAAGGAAATTCACGAGTTCTAAAAATGTTTGTTTAGCACAGCGAATTAGGATACTTGTCTGCATCAATTCATCGATATTAAGCCAATTTGTTTATCTATATCTTTAAAAAAATCATTCCAGATTTCCTCACGGATGTAGAAACGGTATAGGGTATGTAAGTCTCGTCATGTGACTTGCGAGATTTCACGATATTTTGCACTTCCGGGTACAAACAAATATCAACAACATTGCTATTCTATATTGGGTAATACTTGTATGCCGGTAAGAAAGTAAAACTTACACGGAAAAGCAATGGATATGTGGAAATTGGCAGAGTTTTTCTTATTTCGTAACGAAATGCAAATGATTTCATCTTGTGAACAAGTATCAATGAAATACACTTCGTATAATCTTCAGGTGGGTGTGTCATTTCGAATTCGGTTTATCGCAATAAATGCTGTAATATTTTCATTTTTCTATGTAAATCTAATAAATTTGTTATTTGATATAAATTATTCGCATCTGACTTCAGACTGCTGAATTTGATTTTATCAATTTTCTATAGCGCAACCTGATTTTCTCTCAGAAATATAATGTTTAGAAATTTCGGACATCACATATTTCGGATAGAACGTTTCAATATGATTATCAGGGTGTTTTAGTTGAATATATTTTCTTAAATTCTATTTATTATTATTATTATCTGTATAAAGCACAAACAGTCAAGCTATATAACCAATTTAAATTGTCATAAAATATGATGAAATATTTTACTCCTGTAGATATTTAGACAGAGGACAGTGGTGTGAAGAAAAACGTCAGTATCCGATGTAAATACACATGCATGACATGATGTAGCTGCTGTAAAATCGTTTTGGTAAGAAATATACTTAAAGCTACTTAAACTACATTAATGAAAAACATATATTCGTGTATAACATAATGTTCACGTTTTTGTAAATAATTACAAATGTACAGTGTAGCTAAATAAACAATCAGTATGGCATATATGTAGTTTATTCATGTTGAATACTGATTAAAGTATTTTTTTTATTTTTTTCTCAAGTAAGTGGGTCATTTTTTAGTTAAATCATGTTCAGAAAATGATTACAAAAACTTGGTCACTATCACATTTTTAACATCATTTGTAAAAGCAACTCTACAATGTATATATACTAGGACACCAAGAAAGGTTTCTTCCTTTTCAACAATATTTTATATTCATGACAATATTTTTCTTGAAAATGATTGAAATTAATAGCTGACTAATTATTATTACTTTCAACTCATGATAATTTTTCTTTATATGCAGGTTTGTGATTTCATGGTTGGATCTTGAGTATTTGGCATGGCTCTTGATTTATTTTGGAGTGTTCAGATTAGAAACCAAATAGTGATACCACTAGATATAGTTGAAAGGGAATGTCCATACACAGCCTTGGAGTACATAGTAGTAGAGACATGGCAGTCCATTACAGATTTTTGTCTGAATTAAAGCTTCTTAGAGCTCCATGGCTTGTGTAAACTGTCTGACTGAATGTTTGTATTCTAATAAAAACTAAGGTTGAAGACACTTCAAAGACATATGTCAGTGTAAAAATGTTAAACAAAATATCTGTCTTTCAAACTCTTTGTTAGAAATAAATAACCTGTCATAAATTTGTATTAACTGAATTATATTTAAAGATAATTTATCTTCTGCAAATGGCTGTCCAAAACAGTTTCAACCAGGCATCATATAGTTTCAAATCAGTTAAGATAAATCTGTTATAAATAGACTTGTAAGATGACAAGAATGGTAAAAAGATAAATGTTCTGCATTTAATTTAAAAGTTTTCTATCTTGATTGAGTTTTAGTTTATATCACCATGATCACTGAAATTGTAAAAGTAATGGAATCTATAAACATTTTATAATGTATCAGTTTTAATTGATTCAAGGGAGTTTTTAATGACACATAATTCCTCAGAATTGCTTTTATTTTTATTCTTCAAAAGCTTTGAATTTGGTGTCCTGATATAGTTTCAAAAAGTAACTATTTGCAATTACATGGACCATCATTTGATTTTGTTTTAAGCAGTTAGTAAAGTTATTTTGATTAAGTATTTTGTATGAAATATATTTTGTTTAAATTTTGTTACTTTTATGATAAATAATTTATTTACTGCACTTCTTTCTTCAGGTTATAAGCATGTGACATGCTCAAAAACCATTATTTAAATATCAAAGAAAACTTTTTTCTAAGGCAAGATGTGTAAAATTCCTTCCACAAAAAGCCTTTCACTTCTCTTAGAAAAGCCATGGTTTGCATTGTACATGGCAGGTAGTAATACCAGAGTAAACAATATTAATGCAATTCATCTGTGTTGAGTATTCAGTAGCAAAACACTAGCTTGCTAGCCCTTGAAAGCCCAAGTCTGTCTCTTAATCACAAACTTGGAGAAGACATGCAATTCTGCATTCCTTGAAAGATTTTAGTGTCAGAGGGGCAGTTATTACATACCATATACATGTACTTCTTTGTGTTTCAAATTACCTGTAATATAATGTATTGAACCTGTTGACATTTGACCAAAAGTGAATTATCTATACAAAACATGCAAAACTTAGGGTTTGCACTTGATACAATACAATTACATCACTGATACATTAATATACCCAAATTGGGAATGTTTCAAAATTGTCAATGTTTCAAAAAAAATCAATGTTTTTAACTTCTGTCCATGTACATAAAAGTAAATGTAGTCATTGAAGAGCTATATGAACTATTCATCAATATTATTTAGATAGTGTCTGTTTCGATTTCAGGCCAGACAAATTCAAATGACATGCATAGTATTTAGTACTATTTACTGCAATCTAGCCATTGCTGTTAGAGAATTTAAGTACACACTTATTTTGCAGATGAACCCTTATGATCAAGAACTGCAAATAGAAGAAACAAAAAACAGTTTAAAAGTTTGATAAACTTTTATTTTTACACAAATTATAGTCCACTGCTTTGCAAATATATCACACTGATTTTCCAGTGGAAAAAAACTTCAGGAAAGCACTTGAAATTATTATTAGTTATTTGGACAATGTGACTTTACACTGTGAATGTCTACTGATACAAGAATTGGCATATTTCCTTTTACAAAAGTAAAGACTTTGAAAATTTACATGAACAAATTATCATGGAGTTATAAATCATATTCTAATTGAAAAATGGTCAGCTTGGTATCAAAGCTTTGAATGCAAATTTGTAAGCTTATCAATGATTACACTAACAATATTAGAAGTAGATGATATATAATATTTTTGCTATTTTGTTTTCTTTTTCATCTTTACATCATAGTCATTTAATGTGATTCCATGAAAATCTTTATCTCTGGTGTGTTTTCTGTAACTGTGTGTTCTCTGATATTATTCTCAAATTAAGGAACTGGAAGATGGTAGATGCAATAAAGTTCTTCCTGGACAAATTTTCCTTCATCTTTTCCTTGTTATCTGCAGAAAGAAAAATCAATAAATATGTTGTTATAAGTGTAAGACCTGAATATATTTCACTGAATAAAACATTAGAAATGATATTTACATCACTTTTAATAAGCTGGCCATGATTGACAGAAAATTTCATCTTTGAAGTAAATAAACATTAAAGATAAACAACAACACATAATACTAGTATATAACAGTCAAAAATATTTATCTTCTTCAATTTGAAACATGACTGTTTTTCATGTTTTATTTACTTATCAATTATCATGCAGTGAAATCCAAAAATTATTAAAATATTTTTTATCTTTCAGATCTCAACTAAAAAGTAATCAATTATTTTACATGTATTTACCTTTGATGAATAGATATTTCAGGATCATAGGCAGTGGAAACAGTTGATAAATGGTCCATAGTGAACATACTTGTCATATACCTCCCTGTCTACACATCTGAAATAGTTTATTCAAATATTATATTTTGTAATTCAATCATAATTTGCTAGGTACCATATTCACATGTATATATAATTGAAAAAGTTTTAGTGCCTTGATACTATTCTCCATAGTTAGAAATGGATCTATACTATTAAACTTTGCATACATCTATGATCTATCCTTTCTGATTTAATTATCAAAACTCTTACTTGGGACCTGGGGTTTATTATACCAATATAAGTTTTGAAATTTTGATAAAAATGGAAGGGAAGATATATCCGAATTACTGTGCAATGTCCGAATTTTGTATAACTCTAATATACACTAGAATTAAAGCGTTTCTCCATTGTTTATTTCAATAAGTAAAAGTGGTTTGAATAAGTTTCTCACATAAGTAGTTTTAAAACAATACCAAAAGCTAAACAACTAGAATTCACTTCCTTGACAAAACATCCGAAACAATTGTCACTATCCGAAAATAAACTAGTTTTATAAAACTCTATAAATCCCTCGGTTTTTCGTTAGATAATTGACCTACCTGCATATTTTTACCCGTGCTTTCCATTCCTGACAATCTGAAGAGGTTCGAAACAAATTTAACTTCTATATCTCTCGAGTTCTTCGGGGTTACCTATATGCGTAATGGTAAATATGTCTGCCGTTGTACCCGGAAGTGGAAAATCGAAAGTGAAAGTAAACGAGACTTACGGGCCCTATTGACAGTACATTGGTTTTGATAACGCTTGACATTCAAGCCTAGTTTGAGTAAATATATACATGAATACATTGTTCACTAAACGTTTATTTGGTAAATTTAGCTTTTTGTTGCCCCTCTTGGACCAAATATTCGTGTTTGTTGTTGCTCAACACTAAATTTTGTCTGTTGAAAAATACCTATTCCATTTGGCAATGTAATTTGATATTGCGGTCGTAACACATGAGGACAGTCATAGATTCATTTTTTTCTTTAAGTTTTCTCTCTTTCTGTTGCCGGTTTTACCGACTTTAATTGAATTACTTGAAATAATTCCGGTAGAAGTGGAACCTACGCATGCTGGTTTTGTTCTGATATCAGTCAAGTGGAATGGCTGCGTTTGTTCTGATAAAGAGGGGCTATGAAATTAAATTAATGTATTGTTTTTACAGTCTATAAACAAATTGATTTTAAACAAACAGGATTTTTTTAGCAGAAAATGCAATATACAAAGTTTTCGGCATGGGTTGTCACCGTTTTGGATTCTTTCATAAGAGGAAGCAATTCAACTAGTTAACTAGCCCCCAGTAGTTCTACTCAGGTGCCCATTCGTGCCTGAAATAATGCACCCGGTGTCTTCCTTCACAAGTAAAGCTGGAAGTCGCCATATGACTGTGTTGTCTAGTGTGTTGGTGCGACGTCAAATCCAGTCTAAAAGTACAAATATCCAAGAATTGTAAGGTTATACAGTGTGTAACAATGCTTCAAAAAGGAGTATTTATTCTTTAAAATAGTACAACAATGTAGAACCCAAAAATACAGTTCTTTAACTTATCTAATTTTCTATTTATGTATAGATTTATTGTTTCCATTGAGTCAAATAGATGTCACTTAATGCACCCTACCACCTAATACATATCATAGCATGAATGGAGATTTCAAGTTCCCGTAATACTGTGTCTATGACGCAAGAATTTAAGTCCATTGTAATTTTTAACTTTATTTAATTAATTTTTTTCATACATTTTACGTTACACCTATTTATATAAAAATATTATTACATGTACATATTTCCAAGAATTGTAAGTTTATACGGTGTAAAATAATACCTCTTATCTATTCTTAATAATGGTTAAAACACAATGTAGAACGCACAAGATGTACAGATTTCAATGATTTCATAATATATATTAACGTCATTTGGGTAATATATTACTAGCTTGAACACAAACTGAACAATAAGACGTAAGATTTAAAGAAGTT